TGACTGAAGTATTCTTGTGTCCATTTGTCTGTTTTGATGTCAAAATTTATGAAGGGTTAAAGGCTGAGGCAAGTTAAGAAATATGTGATTGACTGCTACACACAATAAGTCTCCCTCCCAAGTCCAGAGATAGGGGTGGTTATAGCCATCTCATCAAGTCGAGAAGCATATATCATTTTACAGTTTCTAGGCAAAATGGGTGGTTTTAGCCATCTCATCAAGTCCAGAAGTGTATGTCGTTTTACATTTTCTAGGTAAAAGAATGGTTTTAGGCATCTCATCGAGTCCACAAGTGTGTGTCGTTTTGGCATTGCTCTGATTAACAAGTATTTCTCCTGTTAATGCTCTTCCTTGGAGAGAGCACACCAGAATTAAGAAAAAATTAGAGGACCTAGGATTAAGAGAAGGAAATCGTGATTAACTGAGGATACTCCTTCATTCTCATGACCATGGCAAAAACGACCAACATTACTGAACAGAGGGTGTACTTAATTTAGCATTTGTCACAAAAGAGGAAGATGGAGAAATCACAGCGACGAGCCATTTTAAGCCACTAATAAGCACTATAGAACCTTACATGGCCAAGAAAGAAGAAACAAAAGGGAATATGTGACTGAAGCCTACAACATGACATAATACTAGGCAACTTGACACTTGGAATGGGAATGCAAAACCCATTAGACGGCGCAATGCGTTATTCATGTTCTTGTCTAATCTCATCCGGTTATGAGTAGGCTATAACAGCAACTTAATGGACATAACCGTCTTCCTGAAATAGTCAACATTCAGATAAAACTGTACTACAGTGTTATAAGGAAAACTTAGCCGCGGCTTGCGAAAATTCTAGAGAAAGTGCACAGTTACGCAGTAATTCTGTGTAAATTTCTTTCTCATAAAACTGTAGTGGACGTCTTGATTGCCAATCAGACTGCAGTGCCATGTGCGGCAAGCTGGTGGTTTCTGCGCGCCCAGTGGATAAAATGTGAACACACCGAACTGAATATACAGTAACCATAGGGAAATTTATACAGTAGTAAAATTCTGTCCCACAGGCAAAGAAGGGGAATTTCGTCCTATGGTTTTGATCCGATCTATTCATCAGCTTGTCAGTTATCCAGACCTTTATTTACAAAGCAGCGCCATGTGGTTTCTTAACACTTGTGCGCGTCCAGCGGATAAACTGTGAACACACCATCATACTGAACACATCACACAGTAACAATAGTAGGAAAATTTACACTTGGTAAAATTCCGTCCCACGGGCACGGAAGGGGAAATTCGCCTTACTACGGGTTTGATTCGATCTATTCACCAGCTTATCAGTTATCCAGACCATTCACTTTGTTCCAGAAGCAAATGGGTTTCATCATCAGCTATGTTCCATGGCCCTGCTTTTACTGGTCTCAGCAGCAACAACAACGAGAACAAGAAAAACACAGCCTTTCAGTCCCAAACAAGTCGGGGCAAGGCTCAGAACTACGGTGCAAATCATGGATCTGCGCTGCACGCATCATTTTCGATTCGCTCATTCAGACGGACGAATCCGCCGGCCCGTGCACACATCAGCGGAACCGCACAGGTCGCCGCGGGACCCGGCAAAACGGGCAATGGCGGGAGAACCCGCGTCGGGCGATCGGCGGCGCGCGCGCCGGCGTGGGACGGCCGCGAGAATGGGGGTCGAGATCGGGGCAGAGCGCGGGGGAGATGGCGGATCTGAGACTGGTTCGTGGATACGCACCTTGTAGGAGCCGTCGGGCTGCTGCTGGCCGAGCCTCTGGATCTCCTCCCTGAGCTTCCCGACCTCCTCCTCGACGTGCCCAAGGTTCATGGCGCCTCTTCTTTCTTTCTGTGAATGATGCTTGGATCTTGTCGCAGCGGGATGCGGATTTTTTTTCTTCTTAATATCTATCGGGGTAGATGGAGGAGAGCCCGCGGGTTGGTTGCTTGGTTGGTTGGTTGAAGGCTTCAGTGGCAGTGGCACCAACCGTCGAGGGGGGAGCACATGGACCGTTGGATCGTGAATGGACGGGCGAGATGAAGGCAACGACTGGGCAACCATGGATCAAGTCGCACAAAATTCACCTTACACAAAACCATGGATCAAGTCTCCATGGGACCTACATTTTTTTTAGGAAAGGTCTTCATGAGATGTTGATTTAAAAGCGGATGGATAAGCTGGTTGACACGTCTCACTCGTCAAAGGCACATGGATAATGTCAAAAAAATGGATTAAGTCTCCATGGGACTTACTCTTTTTTTTAAGAAAATGTCTCTATGAGACTTTGATTTAAAGGCACATGGATAAGCTGGTTGACACGTCTCACTCGTCTCTGGCTGCCTTGTGTTACCTAAGGTGAGGGGCAACCCTGATTTTTTTTACAGGGTTTGTAGTTTCTTTTAGAAAAAAAAATTGGTGGCAGGTCTCGATGGTGGTGATGGTGGAGACAATGTCGCGGAAGTGTGATGCGTCCATTTTACATCATTATTTCTTATCACAAAATTATACATATTTTACACATCATCAACCCATTCTTATGTCTTTGTCTTCTTAATTTGCATGTAGCAATGGAGGAGGGGATTGTCAGAAAACTAAAAAAACGACCAATAATACTAGCAACAAAGAAACTAGTTGCTTGGAGCTTCAAAAAACCAGAAAAAGAAAACATAAAGTCCAAATTTCATGGGAAGAGAGCCAGGGGCACCGGACTCAAGCCAGGGAGGTGCCTCTGAGGCTTACACGGCCTGACCTGGGCCGCGAGCCAGGGGCACCGGACTCAAGCCAGGGAGGTGCGTGTGAGGCTTACACGGCCTGACCTGGGCCGCGAGCCAGGGGCACCGGACTCAAGCCAGGGAGGTGCCTGTGAGGCTTCCACGCCCTGACCTGGGCCGCGAGCCAGGGGCACCGGACTCAAGCCAGGGAGGTGCCTCTGAGGCTTCCACGACCTGACCTGGG